CTTAAACGGGCCCCCCGGCTCCACTTTGGACACGCCTGCCAAGGGGACAGTAAAAGGCCATCGAATGAAACACGGGTCATCGTAAAACTCCTGAGCAGCAAATAATGTAAGAAAACACAAAAACCCGAAGCAACAAGCGGGTGAAATGTTTTTCATCGGTGCCGACTCACTTTAATGGGTCTCTCCAGATCAGGCTTCTTGTATCGGAGCCACATCATTCCAACGATCGCCATGGCGATGCAAAGCCAGTTGAAGAAGCTGAAGAAGTTAATGACGGAGAAGATGTCATTGGAGAAGGCGTAGAGCAGCGTCATCAGACACTGGGTGGAGGAGAACAGGTCAGAGAGGTGTCAGATTAGCCAATCCCTGATTAGGATGATGATGATGCTGAACGCTGATCGCCAGCTAGATGTTTTTGTTTACACCCATAAAAAAACAACAATTTAAAATTCAAGCCTTTTCAAGGGTTTCAAGCACCATAAAAACCTGCCGAAGAAGCTTTTGTCCTCGAGATCGAGATCTAACCACGTGCAGCACGAGACGTAAACACAAACACATTTGTGCCGGTGATTAATAACAAATAGTCTCAGTTTGTCCTACAACTCCTCATAAAGTCTCCTCGGGTATTTTACGAGCTTCGCAGAAACTGAAACTCAAAGATTTGATTTGACCCAAAAACTTTGTTGACAAACGGAAAAAAAACAACCTTGAAAACATTTTGAGATGCTTTAGAAACACTTTTGAAAATGCCAAAACTTAATAATCCTGCCAAAAAACAATGAAATGTTAAATTTATGGCCACGTTAAAGCATCACTTCAGTCAGAACAAACATCTATTTCTTCAAACTGAGGCTGTTTATAGAGAAATCTACAAGTAAGTTATTGTTTTTAATCATTATCATCATCATCATCTAATGTTAATCATTCTAATTTAGATCATCGGATTGGTTTGTAACATTAACCTCTCCATCAGTCCGAAGGAAACAGACATAAAACAAGTTAAGGAGGAATTTTGTCCCTAATCAGCTTCCGTATCATGTAAAATGTAGTATTAAAGCTACACACTGTGAATATAAGCGAGGGGAGCGGGGTGAGCAGACTGGGGTGGATCATCGACAGCAGGCTGGGCAGGTGACCTTCCCGTGACCCCACAAAAAACAACCTGACAGAGAAGAAGAGGGTCAAAGGTCAGAAGTTTCCATCGTTTCCTCTGCATCTCCATTCACGTAAACAAAGTTTGTGCTACCTGGACGAGGTGAAGAGAGAGCCGTTAACGGACCCGAAGCACGACAGACCCACAAACACGGGGATGATCCAGGCCATGGGGCCCAGGTGGCAGTTTCCAAAGTCCTGCAGGACAAACGGACCTGTTTCAGCACTGAAACGCACACCGAGCCCGGCTGGGGTTCTGAAACGTCTCCACCACTCACCACGGCAACGGCCTCAGAGCTGAGCATCTGGGCGGGGGACAGCGTGGTGAAATACGCCAGGTTGGTGAGGACGTAAACGGCGGTAACGATGGGCAGGGAGATGATGATGGCTCGAGGAAGGTTCCTGAGGAGCAAGAAAAAAAACATGAGACTTGCAGGACTTCAGTAACTCGGGAGGCAAACGGGTCGTATTTCTAAAGCGAGGAGCTCACTTGTACGGCTCGATCATCTCCTCTGTCACAAAGTTCAAGTAGTTCCTGCAGCAGAAGAGACGGCGTTTAGACGAGAAAACACACAGATGCCCACATCTTAAAGGACTAGAACATAAAACATCTCTGATTTCTAAACAAGCAGCTGTGGCCAGATGTTCCCATGGTTACTCAAGTAGAATTAATGCTTTACTTGATGATTACTTTAAGTTAATGCAATTAACCAATCTCTGTGGTGTTGGTCCTTCTTCCTCTGAACCTCTAAGAGAAGCAGCTTCTTTGCTGCCCTCCCTGACACCTGGCCGTTTCCTAGCAACAGGCTTCCTCCCTCCCGCTGGACCATTCTGAGGTTTACCATCTGTGGTCTGCTCTAACAGGTAGACTCACCAGCCGCCGTAGGCAAACAGACCGCTGTAGAGCGCCAGGCCGATGCTGCCAAACTCATATTTGGAGTTCTTAAAGGAATTTTCTGGAAGGAGTTCATCAGTTTCACCTGGAAGGGAAAGAGAACAGCTTCAGATCAGAAAACACCAAACAGCGGTGGGGTGGATTAGGAAATCCTGCTGCCATCAAAACCAGGAACTGGAATTAGAAGAACTTGGGATTTAACGCGACGCTGAAAAATGGTGCACTTCACACTGAACTTTAATAATGAAGAAGTCATTTTTCTTTTAAAAAATAATTACAAGAATTATATTTTACATTTAGAATAAAAATTATGTTTTGTGTCATATAAACATTTTTTATAATAAAAAGTGTTGTCTGCTTAGCCGGCCGGGTTTTAGAGGATTCCACTTGAGCAGCTCCGGGAGGATTTATGAGATTCTCCTTTATCTGCCGGTTCGAGGGGATCTGCTCCCTCCAGCATGCGTGAACATTCCCAGACCCGTCGGCGGTCTCTAAACCAACAGCTCGGGCCGTGTTGGTACAGGGAGGTTTAGCCGTAAGCCGGTGTGGGAAATGCCCGTCGGACCCCAGTTTGACCCGACTCTCCACTGCAGGTCCCCCCCCACACACACACACCCTTCAGCTGCCCCCCCTACTTCTGTGTCCTTAAATTATAATCTAAGCTCTTACCTTCAGTTTCCCTTCTCTGCCCCGGTAAGCAGATGATGATGGATGTATGTTTATTTTTATTAATTATGTCATTTCCTATTTTATTCATATTATTATATATTTAATTGACTCATTTACATAAAAGGGTCTCGCCTCCCTCCTTGTTCTCTCGTCTCCACTTGTCTGATTGGATTCTCGCGTAGGTGCTTCTGTGATCCTCACAAATCAATGGAACATCTGACCTTTAACCTTTACGGCCTGGAGGTGAGGTCTGACTCATCCCAGAGCTCTAGCTATACCTCCAGCTTTAACCAGACGTCAGTAAACACCTCAGCCTGGTTAACAATCAGAGCTGCGATCAGCTGGTCACCTGATCCGGTACCGGGGAGGGGAAGGCACACACACACGCACGCACACACACACACACACAAACAGGTGAAAACAGGCCAACCTATCTGACCCAACAGGACTCGGAGGACATCAGACATTAAACAGAACTTTTTGTATTCATGTGAAACAACCTTATGTAATAACAAGGACTTGATATATTTGTATGAAAAATATATTCATATAATATAATAATGTAATTAAGTTTGGCCTCATGTAGAAAAAACGAACACTTTTTCATAAATGATTCTGAACTTTTAAAGCTAAATGACAGCAAACATCTCATACTAGATGTTTACGGATGAGAACTCTGACTTCATTCTCAGGAAAAATCAGAATCCTGATTTTAATCTCAGAGTTCGGAATTTTGTGGAGGCCCTAATCCACTTCAAAATGAAAAATTGTTCCTTTTCAAGAGGTCCTGCAGCAGTTTCGGTTCTAAACAAGCGTTATTCCGGTGGGCCAAGGGATTATAAATATAGCAGATTATAAATCTGCCTCTGAGCCCGTCACCACCAAGTAGTTTGGGTGGCTGTCAGATTGAGAAAGCAGGAGCTAATCAGATTACCCAGGTCTCTAATCTGAGACACCAGCAGACTCTGACCTCATGAGCCTCAGAACCAAACCAACCGCGTCGCCGTAGCCGAGGGGAAGCCCGATCCGGAGCGAAGCACATTAAACCTAATTCTAACATCAACTGTGTGCTTCGGTTTGGCGGCTTGGCTAATTCAATGTAATGCTCGGTGTCTCAGATAAACAGCTGTTGGGATCACAAAGACTCAGGAAGAGACTAGGAGGACAAATCTGAGGAATTAATCTTCAAGCTCCAGTAAGAAACCAAAACAGGAGTTAAGATGATAGAGGAGCGTTCAGAAACGTGTTCCTGCAACGCCTCACCAAAACAATAATGAGCCTCAGCAGGATTCTTCTGGCAAACATGAAACCACACATCCAGGACCAGAACCGGAGAAAGGTTGTGTCGACATGCAGGCGCGTGGCCTAAAAGGGGCGGGGCTTGATACTACTGCAACCCGGGGTTTCTTTCCAAGCTTTGGGGTTTATTAAATATACAAACATCTGATTAGTGAAACTGAATAAACAACAAAGCATTATGTATTAAGCCCCGCCCACCCTCCATGTAAATGAGGGACGTCTTTTTCCTAATTAAAAAAGTATAATCTGTATTTTGCAGGTGTCAGCTTCTGTTGATTTTTGTGACTCTGAACACTTTTAGGTGTAATCAGTTACCTGATGCTTGTGCAGGTAAGTGGGCGGGGCTTTCAGCTCCACATCCTGAGTGATCAGACTTCCCTGGCTTCACTTTTCAACAACAGAAGAAGGCAAACATATCATCTGTCTTCCTTCTCCTCAAAAACACTTCTACTCACAGCAGGGCCCGCCAGTCAGCTGATCTGAGACCTGCGACCTCCCACCTCCACACAAACATCAGTGTGTGTGTGTGTGTGTGTGTGTGTTCTCTGGTAGTTGTTTGTTCTAGGAAGCTGAATAAAAACAGATTCCGGGAGTGTTTTCTAAAAGGTGCAGAAGGATTACAGAAAACAGAAAGTTGACCTTTGTCTGAACAAACATGCAGGAGGTCGTGCAGCAGGAATGTGCCGGACTGCTGAGAAATATTAAGGCACACTTACAGAAGACATCCTGCAGCAGAGCCCGGCTACGGGACGCTCAGCCTTTTGTGTTTCGATTGAAGTAAAAGTGTCGGTTTGGTGTCGAAGTTTTAATTCGGCTGCTGAACTTGACGGCGAGGCTCTACGGGTCAGGGAAGACGGTCGGGCTCACGGCTTCAGCCTGACGGAACGTTAAAGACCTTAAAACGAAGCTTTTGAGTCCTTTCTGGGCGCTTTTTCCTCTCCGGAGTTACGTCTGCTGTTGATTTCCCCAGCTTTGATAGGCAGTGAAGCAGCAGAAAAACACAAACAGCAGGGGGATTAAACCAACAACCACCTGATCACACACTCCCTTCATTAAAAAAGAAGAGGAAAAGGGTGAAATGTCACCTGTGACATTTAGGATCTGCTTTCATAAACCTCTCCTCTAGAGGGAGGTGCGGCATTAACTGAACCAACTTCCTGCTTCCTGGTGTCGACATACCCGCACAGTAACTGCAGCAGAAACTTGTTCCACGCCTTTTGTGTGACTCAGCCTTTTCGGTCAGAGCCGTCCTCTTCTCTGTGGGTACGCCAAACTACTTCCTGTGTGTCACAACGTACGCTTTAGCAGCCGAGGAAAACCAGGATGTGCACCAGAGGCTCCAACCACCCAAACACCAGGGAGTCCGGAGCACAGATACCATTAAACCCTAAACTGTGTTTGATTTAGAGATCCGTTCCTGCTGGTTTGGGAGGAACTGGTTATAAACAATGAAAACGGTCTTCGTGCTATCAGAAGTCTGAGTTTGTGGGATTATTTATCAGATATAAAGATGGATGAAACGCATGTTTGCTTTATTTTATCGTGTATTAAAGATAGTTTTAAATCAAATTGAGAATTTCTTTACTTTTAACAGAAAAAGAAGAAGATGAAAAGATCTTTTCTATGGCGCCTCTCAAGACGAAAATCACGAGGCGCTTCACAAAAACAAAAAATGTAAAATATAAAAAAGAATTTTGAAAATGATTGAAAATATATTTAAAATGAGCAAAAATAGACAATTGTGGTTAAAAAATGTAAAGAAGGAGAGAGAGTGAACAGGGAAGAGGGAAATCAGTGGATCCTGAGGAAGGTGGAATAGGTGGGGAGAGCAGAACAAGGTGAGGGCGATGAAGGTCAGGTGAGTTTTCAGCTGCTTTTTAAAGGAGACCACTGAGTCCACTGATCTCAGGCTCAGGGGGAGAGAGTTCCAGAGTCTGGTGGTCACAGCAGCAAATGATCTGTCACCTTTGGTCTTTAGCCTGGTGCTGCACAACCAGTAGGCTTTGGTCACTGGACCTCAGGGACCTGCTGGGGGTGTAGGGACTAAGAAGATCACCAATGTAAGATGGTGATAGATAGATAGATAGATAGATAGATAGATAGATAGATAGATAGATAGATAGATAGATAGATAGATAGATAGATAGATAGATAGATAGATAGATAGATAGATAGATAGATAGATAGATAGATAGATAGATAGATAGATAGATAGATAGATAGATAGATAGATAGATAGATAGATAGATAGATAGATAGATAGATAGATAGATAGATAGATAGATAGATAGATAGATAGATAGATAGATAGATAGATAGATAGATAGATAGATAGATAGATAGATAGATAGATAGATAGATAGATAGATAGATAGATAGATAGATAGATAGATAGATAGATAGATAGATAGATAGATAGATAGATAGATAGATAGATAGATAGATACGTGTATGGCTTGGATTGATTACAACAAGATGTCCAACATCAGCAGGACTCTGAGAGCCTTCATTGCAAACTCAATGGGGTTGTGGAAAACCACCCTTGAGGCCAAGTGAACAAGTCTCCATCAAATGTGGCATTTACCAAGGAGACGCCCTGTCCCCCTAACAGCTACCTTGGTACCCCACAAGCTAACGGCGACCTTGATGAAGCCACAAGGAAAGGAGCCACAGCTAAAAACCTACAGCAGGTCCTAAGAAGTCAGCTTAAGGCAGGAACAAGATCTGAGTAATAAACAGCTACGCCCTGCCAGTAATCAGATCTCCTGCAGGAATAACAATCTGGCCTAAGGAAGAAACACAGACCACAGATGTTACGACACAGAAGCTCCTAACCATGCATGGAGGGTTCCATCCCAAACCCAGCACCCTGAGACTGAACACTAGCTGTAAGGAAGGAGGCCGAGGACTAGTGAGTGTGAGAGCCACCGTCTAGGCTCTTGGGTACCGTTTTCCTGGTGACAGTTAGCTCACTTCTCTCCGTGCTGCCTTGGTTTTGACCCAACCTTCTTTTCCACAGAGGGTATTGTTCCTCATGGTTGTTCTTGTAGCCAAGCGTCTCAATGATCACTGCTGCTGAAGTGTACATCAGCTCATTGGTTCAGACACAGCACAGCTGAGCTGGGCGATACTGTGCGACTTTTTCACTCGTAGCTCTCAGCTTCAGCTCAAACTGTACGACTTCCTCACAGGGCAGATCTCACGAGTCATGTGCTCAAACTGCACGTCCGGCAGCAACAGGGGCGGCGTTAGGCCCGGCTACTTGGGCTCAAGCCCCGAATGTTTTATGAAAAGCCCCGGATCTAAAACGTGGAAGTAACATGCAGTACCAAAGTCCAACAGAGAGGGCGCAGCTGGCAGTAGTTTGTATACAGCCTGCCAGAGCCTCCACCACTGAAGAAGAAGCCCTTCAGCAGCCGGCTTCTTCTACACTCTCTGCCTGAAACGCATGAGTGAAGATGGACATAAGGGCGTTTTTTAGACCAAAAGTACTGTAATATATGTTTCAGTGGGAGCACGGGCAGAATATCTTGCCCTCCAGCCAGAACCCGAAAACAGCACCAGTAGGCAGCAACTTATCAAAAAAATCCTTTATTAACACAACCAACGATAAAACACTACGGCCAAGTTCCTTCACGCTAAAAGCCAGCTGTCCAGCGTAAATAAAAGCAAGCAGCGGTACTTAGCTGTCCCAGTTGATGTGAACCCCTCCCCGGGGTCTGAGCTTCCGGCACCATCCAACACCCCGGGGCTCAGCTTGCGAGGACGGCGGGTACATCCGCAACTTAGGTCCGGCTGCCAGAGTCTGTAGCGGCAGATGTCGGCGTGGTCTCGGCACCCAACTGCTCCCAGCCCTTGCTACCTAAAGAAGGTGCCAAGCCTTCCCTCCTAGCGCTGGAACACCGCCCACCTGCTCAACTATCTTCGTCGCCGGTAGCCCTAAACGACTGCGAACGACCCCACCCCCCAGAATCCGGTGCCACAAGGACAGGTCGACCACACACACCAACTTGGTAGATCTGTCACCCTTTTGTCCTCTCCGGCCTCATTACCCATAACAAGGACCAGCCGGCATCCAATCACCACGCCCTCAGCATTCGGCAACTCCGGTCTTCTGTCCTTCACAGTACCGCGACAGAACCCCAGCTTTGATTAGACTGGTGTTGACTCAGATTTGTGAGTCTTATTTGAAAATATTAGTTGTACTGCTGGTTTGCCTAAAGTTAGCTGACTGTCAGGTAAAGTTGTTGGAGAAAGAAAGGGAATATTTACTATCATCTCACACTAAACACTAACAGGAACAATACTCTGCCCTGAATATGCTTAATATGTAGCTTCAGGTTAAAAATTATGTGGTACAAGTAGGGATGGGTACCGAATTCGGTACTTTTTAAGGTACCGACCGAATTCCATAGTGCCGACCGAGCACCGATTCACGTCATTTCAAACGGTGCCTCGTTTCGGTACCCGTCCTTCATAACGAGAACTTGCCAAGACAGCTGTGCATGCGCAAGAGCGTTATGTCGTCGGTCGCTGCGAGCCAGTTGTAAACAGAGCAGCATGGTAGAAAGAACGCGCTAAAGCTTGGGTCCACTTCACTAAATGTGATGGGTAACTGGGTGATGATGAAACCAGCGACAACGATCTAAGTGAGACATCCTCATCTTAATCTGCTCCGGTAGGTAAATAAAATGTTTAAGATAACGTTAGCTTGATTTGTTAGCTTCCGTTTCGCTAATGGTGCGTTCGCTTTCTCCTCGGAACTCCGAATTCCCGACTAGAAGAACATGAACGCGCTCTAAAGTTTGGCTTCACTTTACTAAATGCGACGGGTGATTGGGTGAAGATGAAACCAGCGACAACGATCTAAGTGTGAGGCATCATCATTTTAATCTGCTCCAGCAGCTAAATAAACTGTTTACGATAACGTTAGCTTGATATGTTAGCTTCCATTGCCACCGTTATCAGCTAATGGTGCGTTTGCTTTCTCCTCAGAAATTCTAACTTCCCAGTAGGAAAAATCAAATGAAAAAGGACGGCAAAAGGAATGAAGATACACAGTAAATTTAGTTCAAGTAAAGATGTTTGCTTCAGTTTAATTATCAGCTTATAAAACTACAAGGACGATGTTAAAATACAAACAGTTGAATGTTATTTATCGTGATATTTATCTAATATTGTTATATATTGAGAAAAATATATATTTAATTATAAAAGAGAATTAAAATAATGAACACTCAAAATTATCGAAAATTGGTACCGTTAAGTACCGGTATCGATTCCTAGGTACCGGGAATTAGTACCAGATCGATTCAAATGTCAAAGGTACCCATCCCTAGGTACAAGACAAATATATATGATGTTGACTAGTGCTTGTCACGTGTGTGTGCGAGCGCGCGTGTGTTAAGCCCCGGATCTTCTTTGGTCCTAAATCTGCCCCTGGGTAGCAACACGTCGGACCTAAAAATATGCTAAAAATAGCAGTTTTTACACAACACACCTGTTGTCCTTCGGGAGTGCTGCAGGAGGACACACGGGGATTTATGGGGGTTGGATGAGGAAAACGAAAAAAAGAAAGTAAATCTGTGTTTTGTGATCAGTTTAGTTTGACATGAACACGACAAACACGCTTTCTTGACAATCTTTGTGAGTAAAAGAACGTGTAGAAATAAAAACGAACAACGTGTGTTATTAGGGAAATAGCGGGCGAGCGGTGTTGATGCAGGATTGCGCATGCGCCGTGAGCGGTTCTGGTACTTTTTGGGTCGCAGCCGCTCGCAGTGCTGCTTCAACAGTGTGATACCCTCACGAGGGACGAGCAAAATATCAAACACGCCAGAAGTCCGTGTGAGCTCACGATTGCTGATCGGTAGCTGGTCACGTGGTGTTAATCGCCTCTCGTAACCCACTGTACACTACACCACGCTCAGCGCAAAACTCGCCCAGATCTCGTGGATTCTCGCACGAGTGGAAAATCGGCTCAGA